TAGAAGTAAATCGATTGAATTACGGCTGTCGTCAAATAAAAATGCCCATGTTGTACTCGCCATTATAGCCTTCGTGGCGAGTAAATAATCATTGATTAAATGAGAAAAATATCCAAGGAAACGAGCAGCTCCTTATTATTTAACAAAACTTTAACTCACCGTGCGCTGATCGGCGTTACGCGATCTCCGACCGAGTCCATCCACATCCACTCATTCATTCATTCCTTCGATCATTTTCGATCGGACTTACTCACTCGCGTCACCTACATCCACGACCTTACCGACATCATCGGCCCCAGAGCGGCCAATTATTACCTTCCTCCCACTAGACGCGCTACTCGTCGCCTACCGGGCAATCGCAAAGCGTCGATGCCAGGATACGCGTCGTCTGGAGATTCGCTTTAAGTCCCCGGACAAAGGACAGACATAACCGACGGTATTGCAATCGATAGGCCAGCCCCACGAGCCATCTCTCGTCGCTTCTTCCTCCCAGCTGCTTGCCAAACTCCGGATGCGTGGGCCGAGCTTCCACCAGCCTCGGAGCAACCGCAAGCCGAGGACGAAAGTACGCGCGTAGATATAAAGTAGTGGAAGTTCGCCGGAGGCTGGTGGAAGAAGAGCGCCGTAGACGAGCGTGCGCGTGCGTTCGATGGAATCGATCCCTCCTGTCACTTCCTGGACACTTCCTGTCGTACTCACCGTCCTTGTTCATCCCCATCTGCATGCACTTTTTGAGTCGGCAGGCCTGGCACTGATTGCGATGCGCCTTGTCGACGACGCAGCGCCCCGTACCCGCTTGACACCTGGGCAAACACAAGCGGTGCATCGCACCATCAGTCACTCGACTTCCCATCAATTGATGCCTACGGGGCCTCGGCGGCTTTGCGCGCGCCGGCCAAGAGGATTTTCGGCCGTGGAGGTGCCGGCACCCTGTCGCTCTGCGCATGCTCAGCTCGACGATGCTTCGTCGTGGCAATTACGAATGCCAAAGTTTTTATCGGGCTTGTGCGAATGCAGCATCGCGACAAGGCGGATTGGGATTAAGCAGCACGAGTTACGTCCTGAGATTTGCTGGGAAAGCTGTTCTCTTGTAATTTCATTGAGGGAGTGGGGTTGGGCGGTAGGGTGGGGCGGTTGAGGGGGAGGTTGGATTAAACACGAGTCTCGTCTCCGAGTTCTTTCGTATATGTAATGCGTCGTCGTGGTTTTGCGCGATACGTTATCGATTCGTCAAAAGTGTCATAATTTTTCACCATGCGACGTCGATCAAAAAAAAAAAAAAAAAAAAAAAAAAAAAAAAAAAAAAAAAAAAAAAAAAAAAAAAAAAAAAAAAAAAAAAAAGCAGGCACACTTTAATCTAGCTCAACTAAACGGTCACTTTTTTCGTTTATTTGTCCATTTGTATTTGTTTTTGTAAACAAAATTTGCACCTTCGAGGCATCACACTTGACTGTGAAAGTCTTGTCTCATATGCTTTGTCGCACGGTGTCCTAGAGTATCCTAGAATTGTATACCGCAACTGTTTCATTGAACAAAAAAATAAATAAATAAGTAAATAAAACTGAGAAAAAAAACAAGAAAACAAGAGAGAAAAAACTCATTCACAATAGTAATTTGATCGAAATGAGAGATGCAATACGTATATCGCGTGTCTATTGCAGTGAAACTGCCAATTAACGAATAATGCAATTGAACCGAGAAGTTTTAGGGTGCGAGATCGTATGGGCAAATTACTTGTCCCGCCACTGTGATCTCTTCAGCTACATAGCTTGAAGGATAAGTAAAGGAAATAAGTCAGAGGTTCGGGTAACCCGATGGTCCATCATCGACCGATAGACAGTAAATCCTCAACGACATAGAACGAAAAAGAGTTTCCCGTTGCCTCGGTGACACCAAGGTGACCGCGATCGATCGAGATGATCCCGGCACTCGGAATAAGACCTCCGGAGCTCAAAGAATACGACACCTCTCGTCGTTGGACACGTCGACGGTTTTCGAGAGAGAAAGGCGGACCACGGGTATTTAGATGGATAATAAGTAAATACGTGAGCAGCGCGAGCTTCACGAGCGTATGGCATCTCTACGTGCCTCTGCTGGCCTCTGTCCCGAGGATAATAACATTAGTCCCGCAACAATGAAAGTAATCGAATTTAACGATGCTTCCCACCTCCTCCACCATCACCAACAGCTCCTTCCGACTTCCCCATCATCGTCCGCCTCTTCCTCCGCCTTCGCCTTCGACTTCGCCTTCGCCTTCGCCTTCGCCTCTACCTACTCCGGACAAGTGAGCCCGAGTTTGCTTTCATTCTCGCGCGTGCATATCGCAATTTACGAAATTCGTCTCACCCGACTTACCGCCATACTCGTCCCAAGGATTCTTTAACACAGCCAGACCAGATGCTCCATCAGCATATATCAATTATGCATGTATATTATCTACGAGCATGTGATTTGAGCTTTGAAGAAGCTTAGTCGCTATGTCGCACATACATAACGAGTCTCGACGAATATCATTCGTCTGGATAATTAATAGACGATCAAAGCCGAATAAACGCTAATCTGATGGCGAGGAGAGGTTTCCGCGCCTCGACCATTAATAAAGCCTATATAAAGCTCGAGGAGAGCATCGCTCCAACGTCGCCTCCATCGTCACGCCTACGGGGCGAATACTCTCTTCCACCTCATTAGGGCATTGTTCGAGCGAGGGTGCGGCTCACATATGTAAACGACACAGAAAAGTGACGAACGCTCGTGCGCTCGTCGGATAGGAGAGAGCGAAACTCCGTTGGGGGTATTGCGAAGATTGGAGCCTCGAGCCTATCTTGTCACCCGGGTGCGAGGCACCGATGCGTATGTCACGCGTTTCGCATTTTTCCCTCGCATACTTAGCACTTTACTTTCCGCTTTCCATTTATTGCGCATAAATTCGACATATTTGGCTTTTGCTATGCACATGACGTACGCGCGACATCCCATTCTCGATCGTGGTCCATCCATCGATTCCAGCCATTCTTCTTCCCTTCTTTCTCTCTTTCTCTCTTCTTTTTTTATTGCAAAGACTGATTTTTATTCAGGACTGCTTTAAATTAATAATGCGTTGAAGTTAACAAGATGAAATGAAAATTTAATGAAAGATAATGCAAGAATTTATAGATATTTTTCTCTTTTACTTTTAATAATTGTCAATTAAAAAATTCATAAACTTCATCTCGGATTGTCTCGATGACAAATTATCGAGACAAAAAGGCACCTTAATTATAAAATGTAAGATATCCACGTATGGATTTGCATATTTACTGGTAAGGCTGAGCTTAAGAATAGAACCTTTTTCTTTTGAAATGCAACTTTCTCAACAATTACAAAGCATTCATCGGCACTTGCTGTTTACCACGTCCTCGCGCTACATTTAATGCGCACACTCTATTAACTTATTGACTCTCCTCTGTTGACGAATGATCGATGCAATTACTAAAGGACCCTCGTCTCGGCGCAAAAACATGGTAATTGTCAAAAGTGCGGCAAATGTGTTCTCGATTGTAAACGAATTTGATAAACGGGATTGCGCATTTGCCGTTATATATTTCAGAAAATAGGAGAGTACCTTAGTCGCATGCTCGCCAAATAAACAAACAAAAGTCCCTCGGGCGATAAACATCCGATTAGGTCTCAGTAGACAAAGTCGAGAAGCGTCGGTTAAAGGTTCAGGGGAGAGTGAGCTTTTACTCTCACCACTTTCGATAGTCCCCAAGAAGCTCTCTCGTGACATCGACGAGCACCGCGAGCAAACGGACGCGGTTATTAAAGAATCTCGGACGCGACATTGGCAGTAATCCTCCGGGTAGTCGAGGTCGGGGGTCGACCCTGGAGCGCAGGCGCGCGCCTCCTCCGCAGTGGCGTGCGACGCGTCGGGGGTCGCCAGCACCCCCTTTCGCAAATTGATTTGCGTTCACGCCTCGGAGACCTTCCATCCCTTATTTACGCTTAGGGTGAGCGCGTGCCGAGTTACGTCTCGGCGAGTCGGGAGCACATGCTCCCGGTTAATGCGTCGCGATCTCGTCGCGTTGTGTCGTACGGCCGCGAAAGAGTTGAGAGATGCAACGCGAAGGGGACTGGAGAAGAGAGGGCAAGGGGATGACGATGGTGGTCGAGGCGGTGGAAGCGGAGGATCGATCACAGTCCGGGGATTTTATATCCGGTAGTTTTCGACGGTTGGTCCGGTAGTTTAGACTGTTGGCATTGGATGAGATGTTTGTCGAGACAAAGTGATAGGAAGGCGAGGGAATGGCATTGTGTGCGGATGCATTTGATTATTTTATGCCGACGTAACGTCGTCAAATAAGTTATTTTACCTTTGCTTTGGTATATGATTCGTTAATAATATATTTGCTAGATGTTAAGGATAAAGAGCTCGAAACTTTGGTTAACGTGCACCGAAACCATAGGATTTTAATAATATTGGATCCATCTAATATATAATAATAAAATATAATAATAAAAGATCATAGATATTAATAATTTGCTGCGTTTTCTGACGAATTGTATGTGTATTATTATGAATTACATTGTCGTTCGACGAAAAGCCTTCTAGTACTGCAGATTGCAAATTATTCATTGATAAAGAAATTATTAAATTTGAGAGGAGTCTTCGATAATGAGATCGATAGTTTTAACAATATATTTTTGTACGTTGTCTATATTCGAATAATACGAGTAATGACGGCATTTATGGCAAGGGAAGGTATATTTGCACGTAACATTCATAAAAGTAGGAAAATATCTAGGTTATAGGCTTGAGTTCTTGAAAGATAATATAATTTCAACTTTACTGCGATAAGAAAAAACTTAAATTACATATCTAATTACAATGACATTCTTATTCGATCAACGACCGTGGAAAAAACTTCATTGCCCATATTCGCTATAAGGATTTATTGGGCGTATTAAAAAGAAAAATGTCACACAAGAAGAAAATTGTTGCAAATTTTATAGTGTTTGATGTTAAAGGTAAAAGAAAAGAAAAGGCAAAAAAAAACAATTTCATAATGGAAGGTGACGAAACGAAGAATCAATATAAAATATCAATTACGTAATGTGTCGAATAACAGGGGGTGGGGGTGGGAGGACAATAATAAATTGGGGGAACCGCTTTTAGGTAAACATGACATACGTAGTTTGAAATTATGGCTGTCGAATGGCAAAATTCGATGGTCAAGTAGCCGAAAACTAATTTACCATCACTCCGAAAAAAGAAAGCAGCCCCACCACCCCCCCCCCTTCTCGATGAAAGATCCAATGCCGATGCGAGAAGCTTAAAACCGACAAAAGCCAACATCGACATTATGACTCTGAAAGGCCGTAGTGCCATCTTCGTTAACCCTGAGCGAAAGAAAAAATTGGTGCAAATAAAGCATCGGAGCACAATGGGATCCGTGAAAGTGGGAGGGAGACGAAGGCGGGGGAGCCGAATCCGCGTAATCCAGGCGATTTTGTGGTTCGAATCGGGCCGCATCTGTCGCTTACGCGGGAGCAATCGACTGTGGCGGAAGATCGACCAGCTCCTCTCCATCCCCTCCCTCCGTCCGTGTTTCCGATGGCGCGTCCTGCCTCCCGGGTAATTGGTTATCTGTGCGGTGGCTCTGAAGAGGCCCTTACCACGTTACGGCTCATCTCACGATAAGGAGGTGACGGGCTAGGAGAGTCGAAAAAGGCTTTGCCGCCTCCTTGCATCCTCGTTTTACACTGATTTGCACGAGGCAATGAAAACAAAGTAGAAAGACTCTCGAGATGGCTGGCGACTCGAATCGTGAGTTGTCCGAGCGATAAAGTGGACGGAAGTGGGCCTCATCGTGAGTCTTATCGTGAATTTTTTTACGACGGACATACGATAATTACATGGAGGCGTTATTGCGACGAGAGAAGTAGAGCGACTGGAGCTCATTCGCATGACTCATTAGCAAAAGTTTAATCGAAATCCTTGATTTATAGATTTACACTATGACTCTCGACTATTAACATTGCCTGGAATATATAACAGTATAAATGTAATAAAGACAAATAGACTTTAACAATAATTTCATACGAACAATTCTATTGATCAACATACCCCATCGAATAATTTATCTATAAAAATTCTCGATATAAGCCCGATATTTCTCTCTCTCTCTCTCTCTCTCTCTCTCTCTCTCTCTCTGTATGTGTGTTTGTTTGCATTATGCGTATTGGGGTAAGATTGGAAAGATTGGATTGAGAATACCGAACAATTGAAAAAGTAAATAGTAGCGTATGCTAATTCGAAGCTTTATTTTCTTTAATAAGATCACGATTAGCTAAAGATGAGTCAGAGTGGTACAACAAGAGTCGTAAAGCCGAGCTTAACGAAAAAATAAATTGACGTGCTTATGCTGTCCGAAGCGTCTAAATGTTTTCCCGGCGGCGGTTATGATTTATGTGCTGCTTCTCCCCTTCGCATTCTGGGCTCCAGCGACAACAAAACGATATTTTAGAGACTCGGGGTTTTCAAGATGACACACGAGCATCACGTATAAACATACCGATGCTTATTTATTAAGACAGACATACCTGTACGGTATGGCCACGCTATTTCATAACTTTATCTCGTAATAATTAAAGATAAAAGATAGATTCGCGATATGAGACTGGCAATGAATGAGAATGGTATAATGATGTAATGGCTGTTTAAGAATCGTTGGAGGACGGTTTTTGAAGGATGGTAGGCAATTTGCCGGCCAATGGTTAGCGATGGACAACGGTGCATTGCTGGTCTCTGGCAATACAAACAGTTGGCTACAGGACGGAATAATGCGGCACATAAGCCTAGTTTAGCCCACCTCAATTAAAATGCGCTTAATCCGGTCTTTGTGTCATAAGTTGTCGGGTAATAGAAGAGGCGCCACGACTCAATTCGCCGCGAGCCGGAATCAACCGGCTGGCAAAATAATGTAGAGGCGCATCGGCGTGGGGCCGGGCGGGATCGAGGAGTGTCGGGAGCACCTCGGCCGGCCACATTTTTCGCTCGGCTCAAGTGGTCTCCGAGGAATGCCCGTGAAATCCTAGGACCCCGTGCGCCCACTGATTGTTGAGGGGCTCGAGGAGTGCGCATCTGTGCCCCCGTCCCTCCCTTTCCCTCGATTTATCTATGCGATCGGGCGTGCATCGCGCGCCCGCGCACACACCGAGCCCATTGTGTATCTTGGACGTGGAGTGGCGATGATGCGGTGCCTCCTATGCGTCGTAACAGGTGTCGCTTTTAATTCGGCCGCGCGCTCGAATTAATCGAAATAACGTTAATGTAATCGGATTGAAATTCATCGGGACGCGATGATGAATATCTGGGCTCTTTTGTTGTAAGTAAGGAGGGCGACGAACGTGAATGAGAGACAGTAAGAGAGAGAGAGAGAGAGAGAGAGAGAGAGAGATTCGCCTCTTACAAACGCCGTTAGATTGCGAGAGACCCTTAGAAATTAATTTATGCAATTTTCTATAAAATTACTTTTAAAATTACTTTTTATGTATTCGATCGAAAGAATGGATGTATCATTTGTATTTATAAAGTGTAGAGTAGCTCCGTGCGTTAACAATATCAATTTTTTCGTTTTATTTTAAATTTATAGCCCCAGTTGTCCCATCGAACGCGGCGACTCTTAACTTAGAAATGATTATCGATAAACTTTCGTTACTGTAATCAAATTTCATTTGCATACAAATCTACACTCTTTAATTAATTTATCTAAAATCCATCTGAAATTTAACCAACGAATAATGCAAAATTATTGTTAAACAAAGAGATATTTGCTTCAACATCATATTGCATATTTCGAGTAACGAGCATGAAAAAGGAGCGATTTTCATTTTGTAAATCCCCGTTTAAATCACATAACTTTGTTAATATATTCGCGAGAGAGTAAGTAGACAGGCGTGTCTTCAACGAAAAAAAAAAAAAAAAAAAAAAAAAAAAAAATTAAAAAATTAAAAAATTAAATAATACATCAATACGTGCAATTTCAGCCTCCGTTATGATTCGTACGTATTATTTTATTATCTACGCATACGATTTTCTAGATAAAATATACTTGAAACTTTTACACGTTATTAGGCGACGTTGAGACATCTTCACTCATCAATTATCTACCAAAAGTCTTGCTGCTTAAGAGTTGCAAGGCAAAGTTAAACATTATTCGTGCATTCCTCGTTCGCATAATTAAAGGCTAATAAAAAGTAACTTTACGCGAGCTTACTATGCTTACGTAGTTAAACGCTAGACATAATTATCTATCATCGTAGGTTATTGCGTTACTTCGCAATCAATTCAACGAGAATCCAATAAATTTCTCGCCAACAACGAACAAGCAGCACTACATTTCCTCCAATGAATTATTATTCCACGATACGTGAATCATTGCTTAATATGTATATATAAATATATATGTGTGTACACGTATATTTAATGTCGAAATTTTTATGGGGAACTTTTTGAAGAATCGCCACTACAGCGTAACAGCCTTATCGTTTTTCAAGCAAAACAAAGAGAGTTTAGATCGACCGAGGGGGTCAGTACGTCAAAAAGATAGTTAATATCCAACAGATTGAGTGTCGAGCGATTTCCTACGACATTTCCATCCTCGGGGATTCGGGCCTCTATCATCTGCATACACAAGCATCCTCGCGCGTCTCTTGCCGTTAAGCCGGATAAACATCTCGTTATTTATGGTACCGAACGACACGTGCCCCCTACGACCTACTACAAGGACAATACACCAAGCTTTACGTAGGAGGCATAAGAAAAAGGCCACGACAAAAGCAAAGCAAACAAACAGAAGAATCGCAGTTTACCGCCGAGACTCCGAACAGGGATAAATTGAAGTAGCCGAGAGGGAATTTTCCAATGTTCATCGCATCCCACGACAATTACCAATCATATTACCTATTTCATTAAGTCCATAGATAAGGATTTGCAATTGATCGTCTCGCCGCACGAAATTACTCGACAGAATGCGACGCTGTCATCGTAAATCCGACGTCAGATCGTCAATCAGCAATGATCGCGAAAGAAAATGATACCAGATATCGGAAAATATGCAAGGAGGCAGTGTTAGAGATAAAAAGCTCGGGTATTCGCGCACCGAGAGATTGATGAAAAGAGAAAAGTAAAAACGGAGATAAAAAGGATATATATAAAGAGATATATATATATATATATATATATATATATAGAGAGAGAGAGAGAGAGAGAGAGAGAGAGAGAGAGAGACAGATAGATAGAGAGATAGAGAGTGATTTGCCGTAAGAGGGATCCGATGGAGATGGATTGTCGTTCCCAGGAGAGAGTAATAGTCGCTGTTCCCGGTGGGATCTCGCGAGCCTCGGATACAGCAGCCGAGTGCGCGCGGGCCAAGCACTTACTGCCGAGAGTATCGTATCGGTCCCCTCGTCACCGTTTCAAGGATCGCGGTCGTCGCTGTTTAGGGCTAAGCCCACTCGAGCGCCGCCACATGGTGCATCGCGGATCAATCGTTCGAGCGAGCCGGTGCCTCGGCCGTGGCCGTCGTGGGCCGTCGAGCCGTCCGGGAGTCGTCTCCGACACAACGCCTAGGCAAATAGTCCAGATGGCCCTTTAACCTCTCGCTCCGAGAGGATTACCCGGATCTCGGGCTCCCGCTTCTTTAAGCTGCGGATCCGGGAATTAGCCGGTTGATCGATCGCGTTAGCGAGCGAGAGTCGCGTTTGCCGGGTGAAGGCCGCCGAGCTACTCGATATTCTAGATCTCGAGGACGGGGGCGGCACACTCGCGTTTAGTTTATCGCGCCTATAAGATCGCTATGCTCGGACGAATGCAATCGTTTAGCCGAACGTGCGTGGTTTGAGGGTGGTATGATTGGCGGGGGGGGGGGGGGGGTGTTGGCGATTGACTGTTGGATGACGAGTTATTCTGTAAAGGATGCTTGACTGTCATTGGCCGACCGAAATTGCATTATTAAGCCGTAGTGGAGGATCGAGGTGAGGGTCGCGTATGAAAAACTAGAGAGGCCGAACAACTCCGTAAGAAGCGAGATACGAAATAGCAATGAACCACCTGTAAATGAGTTTTCGCCTGACGCTCCTCTTGAAGAAGCCACTGCAGCCGTTACAAGCGAGGATGCCATAGTGCTTGCCGGAGCTGGTGTCCCCGCAGACGATGCATATGAGTCCGAGGCTCCTGGGTGGCTTGTTCACGTGCTGTCCATGAGTCTGTTGCTGCTGATGTTGTTGTTGCTGCTGTTGCTGTTGCTGTTGCTGCTGTTGCGCCTGTTGTTGTTGTTGTTGTTGTTGTTGCTGCTGTTGTTGTTGCGACTGGTGGTGCTGCTGCTGCTGCTGCTGCTGCTGCTGCTGCTGCTGACTTGTGGAATGCTGGGTCGATGATTGATGTTGATGGTGGTGCTGGGCCAGCATGTGAGGGTGGCCATTCTCGAGGGCGGTGAGGTAAGGCGAACGCGCCAGGGGAAAGTCCGTGGGCAAGCCGCGGCAGAGGGGCACCGGACACTCCTGGACGGAGCGCGAGCCATAAGGGTCGTGGCTAGACACCGAGCCCGTCGCCCCCAGCGGACTGTAGCGCTCCGGAAGTCCTGGCGATATGACGCTGCTCTCCGCCGAGTCTGCCAACATCAAGATATATTTTGTTATTGTTATTGTTACTGTCGTTGTCGTTGTTGTTTTTGTTTTTGTTGTTAATGTTGTTGGTGTTGTTGTTGTTTATTCGGTTAAAGATTCGGAAAGAGAAATTCTAGTGTGAAGGAATTATTCGTGAGAATTTTCGTAAGCAGGTGTAGACCGCTTGGCTGTAGAGCGCGTAGATTGACGTAGACACGGAGATGTGACGAGTTAAGTTAGCCATCCGATAGTTTGGAGATATTTGTTCAGAGAGCATTGTGCTCGCATATTAGCTGGACAATTGTAATATCACATAGTTTTAAGAATTTACTCGGAGGCTTGCCGCTTGTGCCCTGTGTATCTTTTCACCGACCACTCGCATCCCTGGGATCCATTGACTCGTTTCAAAAGCCTACATTACGTTTCGACTTATTACTAAGTAAAGTAGCGTTGTAATTACGTAATCTCCCTACGAGTGTAAGAGTGGGGTATCTAAATAATGCTATGAAAACTATGAAAGTTACGTAGGCTGATGTGGCCGAGCACAATAGCCAATCCTTTTTACTCGAAATACAGTGTTAACGAGAAGACGAAGCAGGAGGAGGACGAAATAAAATACAATAAAAGCCTATATCGTCTCTTACATCTCGTGGCATTACACTAGTCGAGCGAAGGACGTAGATGTGCCGAATGTCATTGTCACACACCTAACAACATTAGGACATCAGTATTCGAGTGATTCCTCCCAGCCGTCGATGGCATCCCCCTCTGTCTCGCCGCCGCTCTCTATCGCCCGTCGTGACTCTACGCTCGGCTTCCGCAATGGGGCTCTCTTTGTGCTTTGCGCGGGCGTCAATAAATATAATTCCATCAAATCACGCTTTAATGAAAAGCGTGACTAATAAAATAAGTGGCGTCGACGCGGGACGGAGTTGTAGTGGTAGTGGTAGTGATGGTGGTGGTGGCGGCGACGGCGGCGGTGGCGGCAATGGTGGTGGCAAGCAACGACACCCTCGAAACACCCCAGAAATCGCATTTCGCAGATGCGGCGCCCCTCCGGGTCCCACTCGCCCCATGGCTTACTACTTCTTCCTCTTGATCCTTTCACGGGACAAGTCTAATTTCTTCGAGCTCGAGGCTCTGGTCGTCTCTCGTCGCTCCCGGGCCACGTCGGCCAATCAGAATGCATTATTTAGGAATCGACCTGCTGAGATAAGAAGCTCGAAGAGGAGAAACGAGCTAGGGGGCTGCGGAGGGCTATGGTGGAAGGGGGCGGGGGTGCGGGGGGCGGGGAGGAATGGAGAAAAGTTTTGATCGCACGTCAGCTTAAATCGATTATCTAATAATGCACCGAGCAAACTCTTGGGCAAACCTAATCGGGGATTCTAATCGTTTGCTGTCCTTGTATATTGTCTCTAAGAAATAATGAAAATGCCACATAAAGCTCACTTGGTAATTGCGCTACTTTTTGCGCTAATTTAATTTGCGTGAGTAGACTTTACGAGCGAGATATTTCAATGATGATATCCGAGTTAGAAGAGAATTTAAGAGTCTTGGTTAATACAATTTCCTAATGGGGACGATCGATTGGTCTTCTACGCCTACACGCGTATGTGTAAAGATTATTGTATTCATTATATATGTATTCATCAGGGTTGATGTGCATTTACCGACGTGCAGATTTTATTCGATGAGAAATTGAATCAATGATCCCAGGTTATATATATATATATATATATATATATATATATATATATATATATATATATCTCACGTTTTGATCTTTTTTTTGAACTTTTTGACAATTATCGCTGAACAATATGGAGTAATTATATTTCTAGGCAATAATAAACTGTACTCATTGCAAATGATTCAGTAGTAAATAGTGAAGAATTTAATCGAATTTTAAGGTTTGATAAAAGTCCTTGATCGTTTATGAAATTGTGAAAAGGGGTGGGAAGACGTACTAGAATAATCATAAACGCTTTCTACTTTCTGAGCTTATTTTCCAAATGATTTTCTCATGTAAATGCCGTTTGTCAAGTGGCGCGACAGACAAATCCTACTTTGAGCCCATTCGAAATGAAACGAAGATGTAATTTTTTGAAGGGATATCATGAGAATTGATAAGCTGATTGTTTCTTTTTATAGAAAGTATTTTTACATTGATATCTTTGTATCGTTGTAGATGTCTAATATGGCTTATTCAAGCTTATATTCAATTATCCATAAAATATTTATTATCACGCGTACAGTTGTATATTTCGAAGACGTTAAATAAAATTGAATTTTATGAAAATGTATTATTATAGTTGGGCTTTTTGTTACAAAAGTTTTGTGGAATTGCTTTTTCGAATCTTTGTTAAAACATTAATGCTCATTTAACTCATTTAATTAATGTTCATTTTAACGTCGAAAAAATAATTATAATAATAATCATAATAATATGTTAGAAATGATCTTGAATAATGACAAATCTTAATTAGAAATTAACAAGTCCCATGAAAGTAGAGGAATTCTGTATGACTAATCGATAATTAAATTCACTGAGCATTACGAAAATAATGAATTGAACGCTAGCGAAAATGCCGGAATGACACAAATTGCATAAAAATTGCCAAATAAAACATATATATATATATATATATATATATATATATAATATAAAAATGAGAATAAGGTAGTTTATTTCAAAATGATTGTGTATCATCTGTCATGACCATTTATACGAATAAAAGGAGGAAGACGAATACAGGAGGAAGAGGTAATTTTCTACCCGGCATTGATGCTGAAATACATGAGAAAAATATTTGAATTAGCCTAGGACGAGGCCTTTATAAACGTGATACGCACCTTATGCGGATAAATGGAAGTGGCGAGCGCAATCGATAGGTTAATCGTTAATCGAAAGGCACTTGGGTATATTAATAAATCGTGAGGGCCGTGGTAGTTTAATGAATAATAAAAGTGCGATGCACCGACGCGGACTTGTAAAGTCTTAGTGCTCATCCATATGGAGGATGTCTGTTGGCAGAAGCAGAGTGCAGTGCTGTGGACAGAAGCTCTTGGCTCAATGAACTTGGGCACGAGCAAATATTGATACACGAAGAAGTGATCGCAGCATCGATAGGACGTGCGCACCAATAGTTGGCGAAAAAAAAAAAAAAGAAAAAAACACACAAGCGGAGCCCGACACGTCGGACTCGAGGTCGCGCACCCCAGTTATGCTGGTCGCGCGTCCCGGGTGGCCCGGCATAATCGCAATAAAAATGCCTTACTCTGCTAATACGATGGCGATTAACCGCGCGCGGGGTAAACAGGCCGAGGGCGCGTCCGTGAGAGGATGAGGGGACGTGGGGACGTAAGGAATCAGGGTGCCCTTTGGACTCTTATTGCCGTTCCTCGTTGCGTCTGGTTCGGGTCGTGGAGCCGACGCCGGTGCCGCCATCCTCCAATGATCTCATAATGTGGCTCGGGCGAGAGACGCAGGTGGCGCTCCAAAAGCTCCCGCGCGCCATCCACAAGCATTGATATGCTAATGAAATTTGACGCCCTTGTCGAGAGAGACGGAACGCACGGAAGGGTAGAATAGAGAGAGAGAGTGAGAGAGAGAGAGAGTGTGTGTGTGTGTGTGTGTGTGTGCGCGCGCGTGCGTGCGTGTATGCGTGTATTAGACCACGCGCTCTTACTCAATTTATTTCATCCATCCCTTCTCTCTCTCTCTCACTCTCTCTCTCTCTCTCTCTCTCTCTCTCTCTCTTTCTCGCTTTATGTGCCTCGTTACTTTATTTCTGCGTCGAGATTCGTTTCGATTTTTCATTGATCAGCACACTAGCGGAAATTGAACAAAGTCCTGTGGCACTTCAATTTTTGTAAGTAATTTTTACGATTTGACGAGGTACTTCGGCATATAGGGATTTTAATAATATGCGAAATATATTTATAGGTGAATATGCTATGACCTTCTAATTAATTTAAAAACCAATCGTTTATGGTGTATTACGTGTTTTATTGAATTATTAACTGCCATATATATATATATATATATATATGTATATTTATTTGTGTGATGTATGATAGACAAATTGTATCGAAAATGTGTACATGTTATCGCGGGACGTTGATGACCGATTGATGACTTAAGAAAAACGTATCATCGAACGATTGCCGAGAGGTTCGATTATTTCATAAATTGATTTGTAATTGCAACTTTGAGAAAAACACTACAGATTTGAGTAAATAAACAGAAATCGCAAAGTATGAGATAGCACGTCCAAAAAAAATTATTAATTCGTCAATGCAACGAGTTAGCTTTCTCATTGTAAGTCAACTAGCACTCGGATACTTGCAAAATCATTCTCATCATTCTTTACTAATCTATTAACTTCAATGACAAATAATATTTCTTTGATTTAATAATTAGACCTTCTAGCTCGTATCCTTAATTCATATTGTCCATTGATCATTTTTTGGACCGACTCCTTACTATCATAATTAACACTGTTTTATATCATTTGTGTAATCCTCGAATAGTGCACAATTCTACGGATCGAGATTACATTTGTTTAATGATCCAGAAGCATTCGTGTTCAATGTGTCAGTTGCACACGATATTATTTACAACAGTGGTTGTGAGTGTAATTCGCGCGATTTAGTTAGATATTGTAATATCATAAAGATTCGAATGCCCCTTTCAAGTGCCGTAATACACGAGTTATTCACACATTAATGTACGATGTGTTTTTATATAAATAATTATCTTCGAATGCAATAATTTAGTAGAATAAAATTACAATTGTTTAATATTTTAAATGGTAGACAATACGGTTTTACTCAACATCGAGTACCATAAACTATTATTATAGTCAAATAATATATATATATATATATATATAGTGTGAGCAATCGACTTTGAGAAATGCGAAATTACATTAGTAAAGGTTTATACGCCATTAAATGCTTGTCCCTATGAAAAATTGTGCACATTCAAAGTAAGTGTCGATTAACAGATTTCATGATAAAGTCAAAGTAAGAGCAGAAAATAAGTTGACGGGAGAATGATGTGAGCAAGTGTGCGAGGTAGTAGTTGATTATGTGAGAGGGTGCACTTTATAGTCACGTGCCGAGGCAGATAAAGACGGTACTTGGCATTTCGATCACGTAATTTGATTCCTCAAACTTTATAGCATTGCATCGTGAAAAGTAATTTTTAAATTGGCCGTTACGTTAACATTTCTATTGATTCATTTTTATCTTGATTGTCGAATGAGAAATGAGTATGCGCTTACGCGTCTATGCAAATCAATTATATATATATATATATATATATATACCAAACAAACAAACAAGCAAACAAATTTTGTAGTGTTTAATCGAATGTTTACATTTTCTTCGTGCACTTTTACAGAATTTAACGGATTAATACAAGTTAAAGAGTTGAAATTTCTAAATTCAACGGGAATTCAGATTAGAATTAGAATTCAATGTTTTATATGCGAGAGCTATTTATACAAGAAAATTTATTGTACGATATATGCGATTAATAAGGGATGATTAAGAAATGTCTTCTTTCATAGGCTTTTTATATTACGTAATTGTATACTCAAACACGTATTTATTCGATTGATTTATATTTTATTTTTATAATTCAACTTATTGGACATTATTACGTTCGTAATTGTGCATATTTTAATTGCATTGCCACTGCATTACATTGTTAATTACTTTATCTTCTTCATTTTTATTGGTTAATTCGTTGAATATTTTGTTTATAATGCTGCAATTTTATTCTGGCCGTAAAATCTTAGCGTATCATTACAAAAGTGAATTCGATTAGAAGTTATAGGAGCGCTCGCATAATGCAATTGCTTAGAAATTTTATAATTTTACGATTAAAGAAACTAGTGACGGAGAAGCTCAATAATTACACACTTTAAGTTTCTTGAATTTCGAAGAATAATGCATGAAACAATACATTATAAAAAAATAACTCTCTACGTATTATAAAAATCTTCAAAAAGAGATAAGTATAATCGTTTTCCTCCATATAGTGAATAATAGTGTCAAATGGAAAAAAGTGAAATTATTGAATTTTCGTGTCATTCAAATATCTTGCAATGTCTTTGAAATCTCTTAAATAATTAATCGAAATTCATATAATTCATAAGTGCTTGATATAAATGGCGTATAGTCATTTTGCGCATATCCTTGCCATGACAAGCACTCCCAATCCAATTCACCATAACGTAATATTTACCATGTCGAATACTCAATGGACTGGTGGGGCTCCTTGGGTGTTCCAAACTCGTTTCACTTTGCGATTGCTGATGATGATCCCATCGTAGCAATACCATTCATGTTCTCATTAACGGCACACTACAACAGATTCGTTAATATCGTTACAAAATTGGCCCAGTTTCAACTATCTCTGCCAATGTCAATGTTTCGATCAATAAGCTCAACAAACTCATCAATTTAATTGATGATATCTCTTGGTCTTTTACACTTTTGAAATGCAAGTCAGCTGTTTGAATGTAGGGACTTTATATAAGACTTTTATCTCTCTCTCTCTCTCGCTGTGTCTTTACATCAAATTAATTGGATTGTCGTGAGGATGCTATTACTGCGTTTGGCTATACAAGTTAACACAAAAAGGAAAATTTTACCGTTTCGATCGGACAGGCTTATCCGGCCGATTTTATTCCACCGATAATGCGTGATTCGGACCTTCCAATAATAAATGACAAAAGCAATAAACAACGAATGACGGAGTAAATAATAATAACGAATCGAGTCTACCCCAGTCCTCGTCTCTTTTTACTCTAATCTTTAGTCTGACAGCGAAATCCTTACGAAAGCATAAACTTCACTTAGGGCACGAGGCACCGTCCTGTCCGTGTATCGATCACCACCAGCCGCGCGATTTACACACTTACAACGCTGAGCCACGTACGTCGTCGACTGCTTCTCCCGTTAGAACGAGGCGCGCAGTGGTGGAGCTCCGCCGGGAGCATGTCGTCGTCTCCCCGTGCACTAGGATCGCGTCATCGCGGCAAAGGTCCCGTGATGGTCGGGGCACGATAATCGGGCGTGACGTCGCTCGGTCGGTCCGCTCGCTGCGCCACGGCAAAGTCAAAGAACACCGAGGCGTCCCGGTTTACACCGCGGCTCACGATTTCCGAGGGGCGTCGTCGCCACGGGCCGCTCCATTGGTCTGCCGCCGCTTTTGGAAGGCGGGATCAGGAGGCAACGCGCGCGCAAAAAAGATGAGACCGAAAGGTTGAGGTAGGGAGTGGGAGGCCTGCCGAGGATTTAACCTATAGCCGCGGCACGTTTGACGTGCGGCGATGCTCGCTCGCCGACGTCGGCGGCGCCACGTCGGACGCATGCGCCAGGGCCCGAGTCCCCCCCTGACGGAAGGATGCGGACAAAGAGGCGAGTGAGAGAGAGAGAGAGAGAGAGAGAGAGAGAGAGAGCGAGAGCGCGAGCGAGATCGAACGCGACTGAGTGATGTGGCGGGGAAGTGGCGCGGGGCTGAGGGGGGAGGGCGTGAGGAGGGTGAGCGTTTCACCCCTCGGTCGTGGACGATTGAGACCGCCGAGAATCGAGTGACCGTCGAAAAGACGTAGAAAAACAAGTGCTAATACCTGCCCGCATGCTCGCCAACTCTTTTCCGGTCCTTTTTTATTCGACCTATGAACTTTCGCCTCGCCCGCTCTTTTATATCGACGCTTATGGTGTATATCGCGCCCTCTTTTCTTATCTATTGGACGAATAATAAATTTCACTTTTACCGATTATTTTCAGCTTGCGATTTTTCATGCCGACGTACATCGATTATTTTATAATGGCATACCATTATATTCTATATGGAATTGAAGATAATAATAGACGAACGAAATTGTACCCATTAATATTGGCAAATAATATAATTAATTCGTCCTTTTATATTATTTACTACGTATTAATAAGATGTACGTATTTATTAATTAATTCAAATTTAGGACCATTTAGGTCGTGATGGGCGGGCGGGGGGGGGGTTTATTGTGTGGGTGGGTATGTGTGTTTAGGCGCGTGTATGTGTATGCGCATACGTACGTGGGTATAGATTTGTGTTTATGTACATGTGTGTTATGACAAAAATGAGGGATCTGCACATGTCACATTAACTTGTGCATGTCAAAAAAAAAAAAAGAAAAAAAAGAAAGAAAGAAAGTTTTCCAACAAGTATTAATTTCGAGAAAAGAAAAAGGAAACACAAAAATTGTTTATTGCAATTGAATATACTATCATAATTTTTATTATATCTCATATTGTTTTATCTCATCTTTTTATCAAGAATATTTAATCTATATAAATTTATTTGATCTTTATATTTATGTTTTTTATATTTCCGTGTTATGGTATTATTATCCCTTTAGAAATTAATTCGTTATATTCTAAATATGTCTTCGTTATATTTTAAATTCCAAATTTTATTTCCAACACGATTGATTTGAGATATAGTCCACTTCTATAGGAGTGGAATAGATTTTCCATTATCATCAATTATAACATGTTTGCATGTAAAATTAAAGAATATCAATAATAATCCTGAAAGTTTATAATTATTTTAATTGTAATTTTTTAAATATTGCAATAAAATATATATAACCATTTAGTCAACGATATTCGACTTCTCATTCCTAAAAAATAATTTTTAACAAAATCAAAATAAAATCCCAACGAAAAGTACTTTCGAGTGGAATATCACCATCAACCATAATATTATGAAATCAATGTAATTTTTATAATTCTACATTAAAGTTTGAGTTTTTGATGAAATACTATGCTGAGCAAAACACCTATTATTTATACATTGGCAATTTTTTTTTTTATATACCCACAGCCTACATGACAACGTTATGCATTATAATTAATTCTGAAAAATGTCATGACTAACATATATTAATAACAATACCCTAATATCAACAAAAATATAAACTAAAATAATAAACTATAAACTACTAAACTATATTACTATATTACTATAATACTATATATATATATATAACTATAATACTATACTAAACTATAAACTAAAAAAATAAAACTAATTTCAACAAAGTTCCGCATTGGCTTACAATACATCTTATAGCAAGTTCTATTCAGTAAATTAAATAAGATATCTTATATTAACGCAATTGATGAGCTTAGAAAGACAAAACAATGTTATTAATCGTTTATCATTTTTTAATAAAATATTACAAGATGTATAAACATATCTAAACAGGAAACTGTAATTTTAATTCATTTATCCCATGTGATTATTGAATTCTTCATAAATACATGAATTGTCAAAAAATTTAAAAAGCCTATTGTTTGACCTCGCACAAGTAATTACACGATTCCTTCTTATAGGAGAATACACCCCCCCCACCAACTCATACGCGATGCTTCATGCAAATTAAAAAATCGACAAGTATTTTCAGTCCGACCGTGCGAATCTCTTCGTTTAAGACATATCGCGCCTCAGTCGGCCTCATTCGTATGTCAAGACCCTTACGATGCGATATCACTAATCCGTCCCATTGACGTCCCACTCACGCAGCCTCTCCCCAGCAATAGTCAATTTTCAACGAATCACGTCCTATTGCTCGTGTACTAATCGTCGAGCGGCCAAAACCAACGCAATTAATCGTGCGAATCGAGTTTCTCCGGTGCGAGGAATTCGCGTGAGGCGGGGGTAGCGCCTCGAATGATAGCGATCCCAGTGTGTGACAACAAAAGATAGATAGATAGATATATATATATAGATATATAGATAGATAGATAGATAGATAGAGAGAGAGAGAGAGAGAGAGAGAGAGAGAGCGAAAGAGAGGGGGCGAGAGAGGAACAAGATCCGCCATGTTGCACGGAGCCACAGTCAGCGGCCCAGTCGCCCGACGTATAATCGGCACACGGTCTCTTCCACCCCCGTCAGGAGATCGCTGGATCGAGCGGTGAGGTGGGAAGGGCCGTAGACACGCCCAGCTCCTGGACGCCCGGCCAATGACGCTCGGACGTCGCGACGCAGCGCCGTCCACCAATAGGATTACCCTCTGACTCGCTCTTTCGCTTGTCACTGCCTCGCACCGAGTCTCGGCTCACCCCTGTGCTCTTCAATTCTCCGCCACCCACCCACCCACCCTACGCGCTCTTACTCCATCAATCTCTCTTTATCCCTCTCGCGCCCACCCCACCTCCGCACTGAACCCTACTGCACCACGCAAATGTGCTGCGCGATTCAGAATTACGGCTTTGTGCGCGCGCTTTTAAAAGACCGAAATTAATGCCGTGGCACTACTTCACTAGTATCTGTATTCCCTATACTCTCTCTCTCTCTCTCTCTCTCTCTCTCTCTCTCTCTCTCTCTCTTTGCAAGCGTATGTGTAGGTCGCGTTGGGCGAACGGGTAAGGGAGGTCTGCCTAAAATCTGTGCATTTACACGTTTGGGCGAAATTAGAAAAAAAAAAAATTTACATGGATTTCGTGAGGTGCTGTACATATTTTTCCCCTTTATATCGAGCTCCGAAGGGTGTGAAAAACTTTTTTCAAATATACGAATTTGCATTGGAATGCATGTTTTATTTGTCCCTAGTTTCTAACAAAACTTTTCAAGAATGATTAAAATTATCCATAATTGCCATTCAATTAATTTAATAGTAATTACCTTTGATATATATATATATATATATATATATATATATATATTGCTATATTTATGGCTGATCCGTCGTCACTCGCTACCTGCAAACAATCAAGATATATAAAAAAAAAAAGATCAGCAACTCTATCAACTTCAAATAGTAGAAACATATAAGTATTTAATTAGTCAGAAAATAAAGGGGAAAACGTATTAGAAATGCAGGATCTGTTTCACGTTAAATAAGTAAGAATTCTCCTGTCAACCAATGTAAATAATAATAATATTATTTACTTTAATCTCGTACAATAATATGTGATTATACAAGACAATAATGTACGCGGAGTAGAATATAAGATGTGATGTTTGTAACATTTGTGAAATTACGTTATACGCACAGCTAATTTATCTAGTCGTAATATTTTCTCCTCAAAAGTCGATTGAGAATAAGGCACATAATTTTCAAAATTTTCACTTTCAAATACAAAATTCTTTTACAAGTGTATGCTCTTAAACTATAGTTAAATAGCCATTAAACTTTCAAATAAAATGGATAAATTACATTCGAATTTATTCACATCCCTATTGCAGTTCGAAAAACAATATTAAGGTTTGCATTTATCTTACTTACGAAACATACGGTAAAGTAATGTTATTAAATTGCTTGAAATTTTATTATCAATTACG